ATGTTAGATATTATCTTCCTATTGCAAGGGCGAAGATTCCTTTTAATAACGAGTCAACTGAAGAGGTGGAGGAATTTGTTCATTCTCTAATGGTTTTACGAGTAAGTTTCTTTTTTTAGTAGAAATAACAAGTCGATAAATTCCTAATTAAGGGTTCTCAATTTATAGAATGGGTTAATTGTAAACTTAACTAACAGTTTTCAGACAAGAACCAAAAGGTAAGTGATATAAAGTCTTTTGCTTAAAGGCAGAATATTAAAGAAAATAGCATACAGTTACAGTAGAACATAGCAATATCATGTATTTTGTTTTGTTTCAAAAAAGCTGGCCCTAGTGGCTGATTTTATCGCATACATAATCAGTTTACTTTTGCATGTGTATTTCGTGGATTTATTTATTGTATTGTGATCAATGTATATTATTTGCATATGTTCGAGAATTTTTAAAATTTTTTTGACGTTTTACACTTGTTGGATTTAATCCAAAGATTTTATCGCACGACCGAGTCGGTTAGTAAAAAATAACGGAAACAACTAGTTGTCCATTTTCATAACAGATGCCAACATTATATGTTCCACTAATGCTATTCTTGAAATCACGAGTCCCGAACCTTTGTGCCGTGATATTTGATGTGTGTCGTAATTGGGCTGGAGCAGGGGAATCATATTCAATAATACTCTTCTATATAATAGGTTACAAAATTGAAAAGATTAGCTCTTAGGTGCAGGCTTATGATGAAGTTATAACGTCAATTGGACATAACTCAGGAACATTATGGCATGTCAAAAAAGCTGTAGCTGACGTATTACATAATACTTGACTGGTGTTGTAATATTATGATATGTCTGTAAAAATAATGTAAAAATACTGTAAGTATTACGTACGTATTAAATATTATTAAATACAGTATAGCTAGGGATGGCAAATGATTTAAAACAGAATGTTTTAAATCAGTTTTATATTGCTTTAAAATGATTTTTTACATGTTTTAAAACATCGTCACTGATATTGATATCATGATTAATAATAATGATATGGTTACGATCATGATTATAAATTCGAATCCTCCGACTTTTGACTTTTGTAACACAAACTGATGGCATATTTCGATTTTTACTTGCTATACTTTGACGCTCACCTCTGGTTACCTCAATTTCACATCCAATGGGCAAACGGTACATAGTCACATCTATAAGACGAGCAATGCTTCCTACAAGCGTATTTTCTGAACCTTTATCAACCCGACGAAGTATATCAGTTTTTATTTCTTGTAGTAAAACATCCGTGATGCCTTTTACTACCCGTTCTCTATCGTGGTTTTGCTCTACCCATTGGTCATGTGTTACTAATTCTGTAGGTGTTAGTACAAATTTATATAGGCGTCGAGCCTCTTCTCTTTTTATAACAAAATCAGCGCACACATTTTTAATCAATGCATCTTTGTTTAATCTTTTGGTTTGTCTCATTTTGTTGTAACCATATCATAGAAAGACATACGGGTTTATTCCCTCTGCTGTCGAGCATCTCATGCAGCATTTCACTAGAATCGCTTTCTAAATTTTTGATTTTTTTTTTCTTTTTTGTTTAACCTTGTGACTTTTGTCCAGCAGGTCACATTAATTCATGAATTCATGAATGACTGTTGTATTTTTACTGATTACCTATTGATCCCGTGAAAATCTTGAATTAAATGGTTTAGAACTTTCCATTAGGGTGGGTGGGAGGGATCGACAAAACCAGACTAAGTGTCAGGTTCGCAGAAGAAATAGTTATTTCTTTTTCTAACCATTAACGTACTTAAATACTATAATTAACTTAACTCATACACGGTCATTATTACTAATATAATACTGATTCGATTTTCTGATCGTAACTATTACTTCATTTTTCTTACTCTAGTTCATTACTAATAATTACCTCATTCTAGAAATATTGATTAACTACTCATGTGACTGTAACCGGGAATGACCGGAAAATCTATGGACAGTTCTTAGGGACAGTGCATGGTCACGTGAATAGTAGTTAGGGACAGTTAGGGTTGCAAAAGTATCGATTTTGATAGATCTATGGTAGCTTTTT